ACAGAAAACCTCTTTTCTCCTCATATTTCCTCTTTTTTAAAGGCTCTCAGAGGCTTTTTTCAGGCGGCTGAAGCTCTAAAAGTGGAGACAGAGTTTAGTTTTGGGGCTAAATTGTCATCGGCTCCATTTCTTTGGGCTTTTGGGCCTTTTGGGATCAGCTTTTGTCTCCAGCTGTTTTCTGAGGGACTTTTTCTCCTTTTTGGGTCTGAAAACCAGCTGGAGGCTTCCTGCTCCGTTTAGAGTCAGAAATAAGAGGGAAATGTGTGTAAATGAGCTGGAAACAGGTGGATTTCAGAAGCTAAAAGGACTAAATGAGGCTTAAAGTGTCTTTTTGGGGAAAATCCCCCTGAAAATGAGGGTTAATTTCACAAAAAATTATGAAAATACGTTGTTTTTTCTTCAATAAACTGATGTAATCCCTCAAAATTGACAAAGGAATCAGATAAACTAGTAATGGAAATCAAGTTATATCAGATTTGATCAAATTAAAACAGTTCAAATTCAGTTTTATGAACACAGCCTCTGAAAATGTGAGTTTATTTGACAAAAATGATGGAAATATGTCAGTTTCTTTTAAATAAACTGATGTAATCCCATAAAACTGTTGAAGGAATCAGATAAATTAGTAAATGAAATCGAATTGTATCAGACTTTATCAAATGTAAACAGTTTAAATTCAGTTTAATGAACACTGAACAGGTTGTTCTTAGGCTTAAAGTGTGTCTTTGCTCAGTTTGGTGAAGAATCCTCTGAAAACAGGAGCTGATTTTACACTAAAATTATTAAAAATAGGTCAGTTTTTACACCAGAAGCTGAAAGAATCCCAGAAAATGTAGTTAGGAATCAGATAAATGACTAAAATAAATCAAAATATTTCACATTTAGACTTTGGATTCCTGCTTTTCTCCTCCAGAATCAGCTCTGGTTTCCACTAAATGAGTTTAAAACTCTTTAAAGTTTCTCTTTCATAAGTTTTATAAACAATCCCTGTAAAAATGTGAGTTGATTTAAATGATCTGCATTTTTAATCTGGGAATCTAAGAAATGACTAAAATAAATCAAAATAAATCAGAATATCTCACATTTAAACTCTGGATTTTTACTTTTTTCCTCTGATTCTGGGCCTGGTTCTGACCCGGGTTCTAGGCCCATTAGGTGCTGGTTTTAGCCTGGTTCTGGTCCCATTGTGGGCTTTTCTGGCCCAGTTCTAGGCCCATTCTCGGCCTGTTTCTGACCCGGTTCTGACCCAGTTCTGGCCTTATGATGGGCCCTGCTTCGGGCCTTTTCTGAGCCTGGTTTTAGCCAAGTTCTGTTCTGGTTCTGACCCAGTTCTTTACCGGTTCTGACACGGTTTTAGCCCAGTTCTGTCCCAGTTCTAGGCCCATTCTGAGCCTGTTTCAGACCCAGTTCTGGCCTGATTGTGGGCCTGTTTTTGACCCAGTTCTAGGCCCATTCTGAGCCTGGTTTTAGCCCATTCTGGGTCCTGTTTCTGACCCGGTTCTAGGCCCATTCTGAGCCTGGTTTTAGCCCATTCTGAGCCTGTATCTGACCCAGTTCTGGCCTGATTCTAGGCCCAGTTCTGGCCTGTTTTTAACCCAGTTCTAGGTCCATTCTGGGCCTGTTTCTGACCCGGTTTGGGTCTCCGTCCTGGTGTTATTTTTTTGTGGCTACATTTGTTTGTCCGGCGCCTCCTGGATCTGCAGCCGGACCCAAACCAACCAGCCAACCATTGGCTCCGTTGCCACGGCGCCCTGGGCCCAAACCAACCAACCAACCACCGGCCCCGTTGCCACGGCGCCCTGGGCCCAAACGGCCGCCGTTCGGGCCGGTTATTGAAATCTGCCTCTTTACATAAAAACAAATGGAGGCTCCTCACCGAGCGGCGTGAGGCGGCGCCATGGCGGCGTGCAGTGGTCGGCGTGGCGACGGCGTGCAGTGGTCGGCGTGGCGACGGGCGGCGTGCTGCTGCCTGACATGAGCAGATCTATGTTCATATTCATATGCAAAGCCCCACACCGTCAGGGTTTGCAAATGTTTCTGTTTGGTGTCGGATGATCCGACTAACCCCCCCCCCCTTACCCCCAACCTACCCCCACCCAACCCCCCCCCCCCTCACCCCACTTCCGTACATATATATATATATAAATCAGAATATCTCACAAAATATGTATATATATATATATATGTACAGACATGTATATATGTATATGCCGCTGTTTTATTTGTTTTATTTATGGAGCCATTAACAAAATAATCTCCCTCTGGGATTATACAAATATTTCTGATTCTGATTCTGAAGACATTAGAGGAGCAGAAGAAGAACTTCTGTCTGGAAAAGAGCTCATTTAGACTAGGAAATCAGAGCCGATTCTGGAAGAAAAAAACTGGAATTTACAGTTTAAATTGAGATATTCTGATTTCTTTTGATTTCTTTTAGTAGTTTATCTGATTCCTAACTGAGTTTTCTGGGATTATTCCAGCTTCTGGTGTAAAAACTGAAGTCTTTGTATCGTTCAGCTCCTGTTTTCCTTATTTTAACTCTTTTTTTAACCCTCAGAATCTGTTTCAGCTCCTGAACTCATGTTTACAAAGCAGGAATTTACAGTCTAAATGTGAGATATTCTGATTTATTTTTATTTCTTTTAGTCATTTATCTGATTCTCAGATAAAAAATGCAGTTAATTTTATTTTCAAAGTTTCAAAGTTTCATTGTTTTATTTTAAAATCAGATCATATTTTTACAGGGATTGTTCACAAAACTTATGAAAGAGAAACTTTAAGGAGTTTTAAACTCATTTAGTTGAAATCAGAGCTGATTCTGGAGGAGAAAATGTGAGATATTCTGATTTATTTTGAGTTCTCTTAGTCAATTATCTGATATACAAATTCATTTATGCATTTTATTTCAATTTTTAATAGAAAATCTAACAGGTTTTTACTATTTTAGTGTAAAATGAGCTCATATTTTAAGAGGAATTATTACCTGAGTTTTAATATTTCAGATATGACAGAGATAAGTGGAAAATATGTGTAAATGAGCTGGAAACAGCTGGATTTCAGAACCTAAAAGGACTAAATTAGCCTTAAGGTGACTCTTTGGTCATTTCATGGGGAAAATCCACCTGAATATGTGAGTTTTTCTGTATTAAAACTGATGTAATCTCATAAAATTGATGCAGGAATCAGATAAATTACAAAAGGAATTTAGATAGAATCTGAATTTCTCAGATTTAAACTGTTTAAATTCAGTTTGCCTCTGAAAATATGAGTTTATTTGACACATAGATTAGTTTTTCATAAGATTATCTAATATCTGAAAATTAATCTGGATATCAGAAATTCCTACATAATGTCTCTGTGTGTTCGTGTGTGTGTGTGTGTGTGTCTGTGTGTTTGTGTGTCTCTATGTGTGTGTGTTTCTAATTTTGTGTGTGTCTATTTTTGTGTTTCTCTATGTATGCGTGTGTGTGTGTGTCTATATGTTTGCGTGTGTGTGTGTATCTGAATGTGTGTGTGTGTGTCTCTATGTTTGTGTGTCTCTATGTTTGTGTGTGTGTGTCTCTATGATTGTGTGTCTCTTTGTGTGTTCAGGTTGTGGTTTGTCTGCAGATCCAGATGCAAATGTCAAACAGTCGAGGTGTTTGTTCAGATTAGCAGAACACACACACAGACACACACACACAAACACACACACACACACACACACACACACACACACACACACACACACA